AAAGGGCAACCCTACAAATTAAGAACAACAAGAACACTTCTTTCTTGATTTCTTCACGGCCCTTCTTTTTCTGTTTCATTCTTTTGCTGCTTTGTGCTTATAAACAGCTTGTTTTCATCATTCCTATCTTCGTCTATCCTTGTACTTGAATGAATTAATTTATGAAAACAGAAAGAGAGTAGAAGAAACATCTATAGCTTTTGGTCTTATGGTCGTGTAAATATGTTTTGCCGGTGGGGCTAAAAGATCCAGCTGATTAGGACCCCAATTTGATCACCCAAATCTCTCTTTTTTTCTCCTAAAATATAAACCATCTTAGCTTGCCTCGATCTTCTTTCTATCTCAATCTCCATTTCCTTTTTCTTACTTCTTAGCTAAAATTCTTTGGATAGAAAATGATCATGGGGAGAGAATTTTTCAGTTCAACCTTGCTTTCTTTCTTTTACTTAGATAATTATTCGGGCTGTTTTACAAGTTACCAGTTGTATATGAAGTTTAAACGTAAGTTCTATGTTATATGTAGGTTACATACATATAATATGCATATGCCTGGCTCCCTGTATGCCATTTGCAGAGCTCATCGGAATACCGTTGGGTCCCCGTGAATGGCGTATGAGGAGCCAAGCATATCCCGGATATATAATGGTAATCTAACTACCTAATTCTAACATCTGTTTTGTTTTTTCTTTCTCTTTTTGTTGAGGAAGAGCTGGTTTTTTGTGGGTAAGATATTGAAGGTAAAACATCGGAAAGGGTACGTACTTAACTTTATCTACACACCTCACTCCCAACAGGTACTATTTGAGCTTGCATTTTATGTGTCGATTGTCTAGGGTTTCTTAATTTGCTTTATGTTTTCCTTTTCTGTCTTTTCTGTGGATTTTCTCCGTGTTGTATAGTTTCTTTTGTCAATCTTCTTGTTGCTTAATTGAAATGATAACTACCCATTAAGATATATAGTTAATTTGCGTCTGAACATTTAAAAGGGTAAGTAACATACATTTGGAAGTAATAATGTCATCAAGAAATTAAAGATTTAAGTTTATACATATATATTTGTGATAACATATTTATTCTAATTAGGGGTTTTGATTCTTAGTTATCTTGAGGAGTTTGTTGTGAGTGTTGTAAGGGCCATTTGGGGGCCTGATACATTCACGTGCTACAAGAAGGGAAGCTCATGGCTGAGCACTTTCTGGATCTGTTGTATGTGTTTTATTTTGTGTTGTATATATGTTCTCAACAATTAATTTGTACATATTCCCATAAAGCATCGAAAACATACACATAATGACAATCATGAAAGTTACAACCTATGTCTTGCCCAATTATCTCTCTGTATTCCTGTCTTTTCTATCACTTTCTTCAGTGCCTTAAGTTACAACCCCTTTAGTTTTCCCTACTCACACATTCAAAATAAAAAGGAAGACAAACAAACCCCTTTTGCTCGTACTGTTTCATTAGACGAGTTTCTTCTTTTTTCTCTTCCATATTTGTCCATTGAGATGGCAATAATTTATGCGACATTCTATGACAATAATTTGAGATTTAGTTAGCTCTAATTAACTAAGTAACATATTAAAATGTTTTTATACTTTCTTTCAGTTTTAATTTTTATGTTTATCTACAACTATCTGCATGTGTATAAAAGAGAAACGAAGAATAGCGGATGTGTTTTTGCATCATTTACATACGCACGCTTCAGGCTTTTCTCTAATGTACTACTTATTGCTTATATTACTAACTGTGGAGCTCTCCACTAAGTATATATTAACTTTTCTTAAGATTATGTCAGTTTTCTATTTGAAATTTTCTCCACTGTCTCTTTCAGTACCGGCAGATATCTATTTAATTCTCAATCCTACAGCTCTAGTTGATCATCTCATAAGCAAATAAGAAAATTACCCAATTCAATATATATTGCATTTGTATGCAGAATAATTATCTTCGTTGGAGAAGGGCAATCAAATGATGTTAAAATATATGGAATGAGTCAGGGGGGTGTATATTACATTTGTCTATTACATTTTTTTCCACAACATAACAGTAAAAAAATAATACATAAATAAAACACAAGATAAAGATTATTTTCTTCTGCTCATTTTCCCAGTTGGAAGAAGAGATGTCATTCAATTTCATTCATGGATGTATACTTCGTTTGTTCTTAATCGGCCAACCAAGACGAGGCGTAAACAAGAAAGAGTAAGCAAAATGAGAAGTTAGGACTAAGGAGGGTTTAAATAATAGGACGAGGGGGGTGAGTGTTAATATGTGGGGTTTCATCAATTTCAAGGGATGTATGGATTAAATAGAAAGTTAATGTTATTTTAGGGTACGCAAAAAGAAAAATAGATATCATGATACACAATCATGATGTTGTATAGCTTTAGGGACTAGGGGAATCTGACGACACTAGAAAGGAAAGATATGTTGGGTTGATGGACCACAATATACTATACACTTCTTCTCTTCCTTCTACTTGGGCTTTAGTTCCACAGTGCCTATATGCTATATCATCTCTTGCTCTAGTTGGTTACTAGGGAATAACATTATATACAATCAATGCAGGTCAACATTTTGACCAAATAAAGCAAGAGGCTTTCTTGGAAGAAATGAAAGGAAAAAAGAATTTGGGACCACCTTTTTCTTGTGAGGGATCTCCTGAAACCAATTGGCTTGGCTTGATTCAAATCAATTTCAATTTCCAAACACCCCTTTAACCTTCTCTCCTTTTACCCCCCAACCCCACCAACCAAAACCTAAAGCTTGCTTTTCTCCCTAACCAAACCCTTATCTAGAGAACATTCTCCTCGATGACCTAAAAAGTAAGGAGAAATAAACAAAGAAAAATAGGTAAAAAGGAATGAGAAAAGAGAATACCCCTTTTTCCATTTTAAAAAGAAATGTTTCTTTTGCAAAATCTACTTTAAATTAGATTCTATTCGACGGCTTTAATAAAGTAAATGTATCTTCCTCTTATTAACTTTTACCTCAATTTCTGATGTACATATATTTTACAGTAATGGAGCAGAAACTTTCATTTGATTGCCATCGCATGGCTGTTTGTACATAAACATCCTTTCTGACTCAATATTCTCACTGTTTTTGCGCCAGACAAAATATGTTTCCTAATTCTTGGCTTTCATCTGTGTTAAGATTCTCATATTTTCCTACTTTTATTGACTAATTTATATGCTAATAAACGTCAAAAACATAAATATTAGACTCAACAAAAAATATGCATACATGACATAAACAGATAGAGGTTTTCATCCAATTCATCATTCTTTTTCGAGTCATATCGATCATTGAGTTACATGCGAGAAAAATCTATAGATATCTTACTGCTTTGAAATAATCTTTTTTAAATGTTTTGAATTTGATTCATCTATATTTAGAGTTCGAAAAGGAAACACTACACAAGTTGATATTTCAAGAAGAGGGTACAAGCAGGTGGATGATTTTTATTGACTCTTTATAATATTTGCAAGTTGCAAATTAACTCTAGTTGCTGGCTAATTATTTTGCATTTTCTAGTTTTGTATCTGGTGTTCGATATATTTCCCATAATCAATTTCATATTTTTGAACAAGACAACAAGAATTATATGTATCATTTACGTAGCTCAACGTTAGAGTTAATGACCAACTTTCTGGGCCATTTTAATATAACTAGATCTCCTATATGGCTATAACATTCTCTGCGTCATTGTTTATGCAACATTTCAAATATTATCGTGTAGACCAGTACTTAACACTTATATCATTTCGTTCATGATAAAAGAAAAAAATAAAAAGAAACAAAAGAAGATAAAGCAAGGTATTGAAACATGTGAAAAAAGAAAAAGAAAGAGAACTTTTCTTTGCAAAAGATTTTCGTCAACTCTTATCTTCTTTCAATTTGCTTTTAGTTTTTTCAATTTATTTTGTTTGGGTAATTTTCAGTTTCTATTAGAAGAAAAGGTTTCAACAGATAAATAGTATAAATAATATTTGAAAAGTAACAAAGCATAACGAAAAGAGTGTTACATGATCTCCTGATCTTTTAGGGTCGATTGTTATCAGATAAATGTGCTCTTTTTTTAAGATATATATACACTTGATTAATTCCTATATTCAAACGAAGTAACCAAAAATTCTATCTATCTATATCTATATCTATACTATATTAAAAACACGAAGGCCGTATCGAAATGTCGTTTGCTTTTTTATCCTTTATAAGTGCATTATATGTTGGATATACTTGTAATTGTAATCACTATTTTTTTTTTGTGGGCAAAATTAAAAATTCCTTGTGCTTGCTTTTAGGTTTAGGATTCTTTAAGATTTACATTGTTTGGGATGCTTTCCTTATGGACTTTTTTTCCTTTGGTCTTTTTCCCCCCTTAGTTTTAGGGATTCTTTAAAGAATTTATTTGTTACGGTGTGTATTGTAAATGCAATTAATTTTAAAGACTTAATTATTTCCTTAGATCGAAATAACTATATCAGATTTTAAAAATTATTCCTATGAGGTGCAATAACACTTCTATTCATAATCCAAGGAAACAAATAAAAGCTGGCGTAATTATTTTCTTACATCATTATTACTATATCAAATTTTAAAAACTCATTCCTATGAAATCGGTACAATAAAACTCCTAATCATAATCAAAGAAACAAATAAAAACCTACTTAAAATAGAATGCACCTATATAAAAGAACCTTAACAATGAAAAGAATGCATTAGGCTACAATTCTATTGCTTTCTCAATCGTTTTGCTTTATCGATATTATACTGGTTTGATTCTTGGCTTGATATCATGTGATGCTTTAATTAAAAATTTTGGTTAAGTAGTTTTATTTTACTGTTTTCTATGATTTATGCTACATGTTGGTATTACCTGATATACCGTTTTGGTGGATAAATCATTCTTAGATTTTGTTTTTATTTTCTTGATGCCTCTAATAGTGTTTCATGTGTAATTTTTGTTTCATAGCTTTGGAAAATTAACTTTATGTGTTCCACTATATATTTTCTCAGATTACGCAAGCGCACGACCTGCGATGCATCGAGATAGTAGCCATACTGTAAAATGTCAATTACGATTAGTAGCAGTCGTATAGGGCCAAGGTCAGCCTTCGGAAAATTCTTATCCTACTTGTGGATAGTTTACTATTGATCAAGAAAAATAATTTTAATTGATGTTGCTTTAATACTAGGGATATGCATCTACTTAGGTTTTGTATATTTCTATATCGGTTGCCTCTAGAAAAATATAGTCCTCCAACAATATTATTTAGGAACACAAACTTTAATTTTTTTTAAACTCCTGCTCAGTTGAGCACCATCACATAAATTGAGATAGTGAGAGTATACTTTGAATTATACTAATTTTTCCTTTCATATTGTAATTTTCAGGACTTTGGATAATATTAACCATGATTAAATGGGCTATGAGGTATACGGCATTCATATCTCTTTCGCCGTTGTTGATTTATTTGTGCTTATTTTTCAAGTTTCCTACTTAGCATATGATCTTCTCTTAAGGTTTATCATGGATATTAACAGTTTCTTATGCTTAATTTGATTTTCATGAGCAGTACTCTCACTAAGAGGGAGAGCCACCAAATATGTGTACATGTTGGTTTGTTCATCCATGCAAATAGAGCGACAATTGGTATACATGGCACACTTTTAATAATCATATTTTGGTCTCGAAAAGAATATTACGAAACAAACGAGCAAATATTTAGTAGAATAATTTTTTATGAACTCATTAATTCGTTACTCATCATTTGACCTTCATTAATTAAAGAACTTTAGTGTCTTCCTTGTATTAGATTTTAGTTAACAAAGAATTTCATTATTTTCGTGTATGTCATCAGAAAAGTAGTAAACGTTTTTTTAGAGTTTTTAAATTTTACTCTAAATTTTCATGATCATAGTAAAAACAAGTAATATTCCAATGTATTCTGCATTTTTACACCTTTAAATCTTTTTTTAATTTTATTTTATTATAAAAGTATGAAGCTCCAAAACAAGATTGTAAATGCCCATTTTTTGTCATATTTTCTTATTTTTATTTGATGTTATTTGGATTTAATTAGTCTAGTTTATTGAGGGGGTTAAGAGGGGTTGATCTTGTCATTTTAAGGCCAAAATTGGCCCAAAAATGGACCAAAATCAGCGGCCCAATGCTCCATACCCGCCCAGCTTTCAGGCCCCAACTGGACGCGTCAAAACGATATCGTTTTGGTTAAGTGGCTGAGATTCAATCTCAGCCACTCATCTTGTCTTGATCCAACGGTCACCATAGGAAGAAGAGGACTGTACGAGGTCGACCGAGGATCAGGTGGGGAGCCTTGACTAAGGATAAAGCTCAGGAGTTGGAAGGGAGGCTATCGGCTGTGGGAGCCTGGAGGAGTAGTGGGGATGCGAGCGTTATGTGATCGACAACGGCAGATTATATACGGGAGGTAGCGAGAGAGGTGTTGGGAGTCTCGAAAGGTTTTACTGGCGGGCACAAAGGCGAGTGGTGGTGGAATGATGTGGTCCAAGGTAAAGTGGAAGCGAAGAAGGCGGCGTACCTGAAGTTAGTAGGGAGCACATGCGAGGTTGAGAGGAGTGTGAATAAGGAGAGGTATAAAGTAGCTAGGAAGGAGGTGAAACTGGCGGTCACGGAGGCTAAGACTGCGGCTTTTAGTCGTCTGACGAGGATCTAGGGGCCAAGGGCGGGGAGAAGAAGTTATTTCGACTGGCTAAGGCGAGGGAGAGGAAGGCTCGGGATCTGGATCAAGTGAGGTGTATCGGAGACAAGGACGGTAGAGTATTGATGAGAGAGGCCAAGATTAAGTGGAGATGGCAGACTTACTTTCATAAACTTCTAAATAAAGAAGGGGATCAGGATATTGTGCTAGGCTAGTTGGGGCATTCTGAGAGTTACAACGATTTTGGGTACTGTAGGCGCATCAAGGTTGGGGAGGTCGTGGGAGCTATTCGTAAGATGAGCAGGGGTAGAGCTACCGGGGCCGACGAGATCCAGATAGAATTTTGGAGGTGTGTGGGTAGAGCAGGTTTAGAGTGGCTAACAGGGTTATTTAATATTATTTTCAGAACGAAGAGGATGCCGGACGAGTGGAGGTGGAGTACGGTGGTTCCGTTGTACAAGCAAAGGTGACATCCAGAGTTGCAATAACTATAGGGGTATCAAACTATTGAGTCATACAATGAAAGTGTGGGAGAGGGTAGTAGGAGCGAGGGTGAGGAGGACGGTGTCTGTATCAGACAACCAGTTCGGGTTCATATCGGGTCGTTCTACTACCAAAGCTATCCACCTTATTAGGAGGTTGGTGGAACAGTACAGGGATAGGAAGAATGATCTACACATGGTGTTTATTGATCTGGAGAAAGCTTATGACAAGGTTCCTAGAGAAATTCTTTGGAGATGTCTAGAGGCTAAAGGTGTGCCGGTTGCTTACATTAGGGCGATTAAGGACATGTATGATGGAGCTAAGACTCGGGTTAGGACAGTGGGAGGCAACTCCGAGCATTTCCCGATTGTTATAGGGTTACACCAAGGATCTACGCTCAGCCCATTCTTGTTTGCTCTGGTGATGGATGCATTGACACACCATGTTCAAGGAGAGGTGCCATGGTGTATGTTATTCGCTGATGACATTAGTTTGATTGAGGAGATGCGGAGCGGCATTAACGAGAGGCTGGAGGTTTGGAGACAGGCCCTTGAGTCAAAGGGTTTCAAGTTGAGCATGACGAAGAAAGAATATATTGAGTGCAAGTTCAGTGCCGAGCCGAGGGAAGCGGACATGGACGTAAGGCTCGGATCGCAGGTCATTTCCAAGAGAGGTAGTTTCAAGTACCTTGGGTCAGTTATCCATGAGGATGGGGAGATCGATGAGGATGTCACACACCGTATAGGGGTGGGGTTGATGAAATGGATGTTAGCATCTGGAGTTCTATATGACAAGAAAGTGCCTTCGTTACTCAAAGGTAAGTTTTATAGGGCGGTGGTTAGGCCGGCCATGTTGTATGGGGATGAGTGTTAGCCAGTTAAGAATTCACATACCCAGAAGATGAAAGTAGCAGAAATGAGGATGTTGAGGTGGATGTGCGAGCACACTAGGATGGATAAGATTAGGTATGAAAATATTCGAGAGAAGGTGGGCGTAGCTCCTATTGATGACAAGATGAGGGAAGCGAGACTCAGATGGTTCGGGCACGTTTAGAGGAGGAGCTTGGATGCCTCGATAAGGCGGTGCGAGCAGTTGGCGTTGGTGGGTACGAGGAGAGGTAGAGGGCGGCCTAAGAAGAATTGGGGAGAGGTGATCAGGCGGGATATGATGAGACTTCAGATCTTCGAGGACATGGCACTCGATAGGAAGCTGTGGAGGTCGAGCATTAAGGTTGTGGGTTAGGAGGTAGTTGAGCATATTTAGTCTACCACTGTGAGGCTAGGCTGATAGGATTTAGTCTTACACTGCTAGTGGTCAGTGCTGTGTTTACACTACTCTTCCGTTTTCATAGTGCCGGGTCTTTTTTCTTGGTCATTATTTCTGCCTTTCATCTTTTTGCTGGTTCTTGTGTTGTTGTTATTATTATTTCCATGATGGTACTGATATATTATCTCTTTTTATTTTTTCGTCTTCTAGAGCCGAGGGTCTTTCGAAAACAGCCTCTCTACTCCATCGGGGTAGAGGTAAGGTCTGCGTACACACTACCCTCTCCAGACCCCACTTGTGGGACTACACTGGGTCGTTGTTGTTGTTATTGTTGTCTTGGTATTTAAACCCTAAGGTGGCCGAAAATTGCCCCCATTTTTCCCCTTTATCTATTTCTTCTTCCTCTCTCTTCTCACTCTCTCTTCTCTTCTTAGAGATCAGCCGTCCGCCGCCCATCTCCGCCGGCCAGAATTCGCCGCTGCTGCCCGACGTCAGCCAAAGCCCATAAAAACTACACCAATCGCTCCCTCTCTTTACCCTCTCACCTAATCTGAGCCCCAAATCCTCAAAAACCCCTCTAAATTCCGTGAAATCGAAACCCTAGATAGCCGCCTCTTACTTCTCTATTCGATTTCCTGGCAAACCGGCCACTACACCCCCACAAAACCTATACAAACGCGTAGATCTCAAAGAGATCTATACATTCCCTATAGTCTCACCCCAAAAAACCACACTGCCGCCGGCCAGCCACCTCCACTGCCGCGACCACTGCTGCTCGCCGGCTCTGCCACCACCACAACTTCCTCGTCTTAGTTTTTACGACCCAAAGGCAGTTGTTTCTTTTTGGAAAGACATCAGAATCTATTAGTTTGGCATTTGCCAAAAAGAAACATGCGCCTCGGGGTCGAACAACCACCACTTGGCATCCTCGGCATCGTCTCGTTGTTCGATTTGGCCTCAAATGCCTTTAAATTTGGTATATACTCGAACTCAAATCCTTTCCTCCATGTTTCTGATTTTTGTTGTTGTTGTTGTTGTTGTGTTTCACCACTGTTCTATTGTAGTTGGAATAATGTATATTCTGTTAGTGGTCGATTTTAGTTCGTGTTCTATCTAGTTTTCAATTTCGTCTTCGTTTAACTGAAACTTTTTCACCAAGTTATTTCACTGTTAACATGTTTCTTGCTTGGTTTGATTTTAGTCATTAGGTTTTAAGTTCTCTTGATTGATTAGTAGGTCAGTATTAAGTTTTAGTTACATGTTTGATGGTAGTTTAATTGTGTTCTAGTTTTGGTTTGAAGCAAGCGAGGTTTGGTATTAATTGGCTTAAATTTGAAGTTAGCTAAGTTGATCATGATTTAGGGTACAAAGTAGCTTACTTTTTAGTACTAGAGTGGCTGAAAGTACATTTTCCTCCATGTTTTTGCCACTTTAGTTGGTTTGGATTGTCCTTTCCCTTTTGGACAGCCCTTGGATAGACTTTTAGCACACAAAAGTGAGTCTCTTGAGCAGTTTTTTGGTGTACAAAAGTTAGTCCTTTTGGACAGACTTTTGGTTAACCAAAAGCTGCCCAAAGGTGGCTTTCTTTGCTTACTTAAAGGCTGCTCCTTTCATATTTCAAGGACACACACACTCTATCACTGAAAAAACTAATCTTTTACATTCGGAAAAAAGGAAACACACAACTTATGAAAAATCATCAGTTGAACATCCAAAAGTAAGCTGAAAACTGAAAGTTTGCTTCCTTTCTTAAGTCATTAAGCTTTTGGTTTGAGCTTCTGGTTCGTATTGGGTTCAAAAGATTGCTGTTAGTTTGTTGCAGCTGTTGTTGGATTGGTTGATGTGTTTCGATAGTGATATACAAAGCTGAATCTATTATTGCTGTCTTGCTTTTGAATATGCAATCTAGGTAACTTTTCTAGCTTGTAAATTAGTTCATCATCAAAGAAATAGAAGCATGAAGTCCTTACTTGATTTCTGAATATTCTTGCAACTTTCTGGTTAGATCCTTATGCTACTAAAAGTAGTGTTTGTTCTTGTATAAATGCTAATCATGTTAACTAATAAAGGGAAAATGTTGTTAGTTTTTAATTCCTCCATAAAGTTTAAGTGTTGAAATTTTATCTTCACTCTTTGCGCATCTTTATGGCATCTGCTATGAGTAGCTTTAGCCATTTAATCCTATTTGATATTTTGAGTTTAATTTCTTGTGAAAATAAGTGATTAGGTCTTAGAGCTTAGTAAAAAAAATTGCATCTCAAAAGGTACGAATCCTTACTATCTTTTTATAT